CTGAAGTTCATATAAAAATAATGGATTTCTTTTTCCCCAAACTAATAGAATTTTTTTAAGTTCTTCTAAAATGTGGAAAGAAAAAAAATTGTGAGCATTTCTAATTTCGCTTTTGTTTTTTTTATATTGTTTATGTTTCTTGAAAATTGAAATTCAATTTTAAACATTTTAAATCATATTATTTCCCTTTTCTCTCCTTCCACTGCATTTATATATATATATATATAGTTTCTAACACTTTATATATTAATATGATAAGTGTGAGTATGGCTAAAGTATGTATATGGTGTGTGCGAAGTCGTCCATTTGCAGGTTTATGTCTTTTTTATGACTTCCCTCTGCAACGTGAGTGAATTTTATAAATTTCTCACGCAGGAAAAACCGTAGACACGATGCAAAAGAAGGCAAGCTATCTTTATTTAAACATTATATATATATATATATATATATATATATATGTGCGTGAGTGTGTGTGTGTATTTGTATAGGCCAATAAACACACAAAATTTATTCATATTGTGTTAGTGGGACTTGCAGGACATTTTGGCGAACGATTGCTACGTATATATATATGCAGTCCACGTATATGGGTAAAATTTAATTAAAAAAGAAGAAATTTCAATGTCTAACAGCGCCCATGAGTTTTTAATTAAAAGCAAAAAATTTCCATTTCTATGTGTGTCAACGTTGGAAGGAATGTTTAGAATTTTAAATGAAGGCGTGCAGAGCAATATAGCACCAGCGCAACAGAGTACATAATAATAGAAGACAGCAAACAACTTTATTATCTTTTGTCAGCTAAAGAGTATAAACACAGACATTTTAACACTGAATTCCTATTAAATGAATCCGCTGGCAAAATAAATAAATTAACTAAAAACTAATCTACATTTTTTTATCTTTACAAATCGTTTAATTACCTTAACAGTTACGATCGCCATTTAGGCTCACGTTAGATTAACTCTCTACGGGTCAATTCAAGGAGTCAAAGTACGGCCGAAACAAAACTCATTATATCTCAAAGTACTTCGTCTTGAATTTTTTTATTATAAGTTGTTTGTCTTTCCCCTCGTTCAACGTAAGGTTCTTCTTTTTTTTATTATTATAATAGTTTTAAAAATTAATTAAAAACGTTTTTCACCTCAGACCACTCTAGAGGTAATTAAGAAAGAAGAAAATATATTAAAATAAAAGAGCGATTAGCTAAAGAGCTTGTCATCGTTTAACGGAGGCTTTCAAGCGAGCAAAAAACGAACGAAATTTTTTTTTTTTGTTGATCAACACTTTTTAAATAATTTCCCCTTTTCCCCTCTCAAATTCATAAACCTTCAACTGGTAAAAGCAATATAGTGGGACGCGGCCCATTATTAAATAACCTACACCAGTTGGCTTAATACAGTTGTTATTCATTTAACGAGTTCTCAAAATGAAGCATTATATAGGAAATGGTCGGGAAAGTGACCCGATCTGCATTATTTTTAATACCATATTCATTTCTGGGTCAAAGCATGATAGTTATATCAAATGTCTCAAAACCAGCTATGTATAAATTGAACACAAGAATACAAGACGAACAGACAACGTTAGATAGATACGAAATATAATTTTAAACCAGTTAATACAAGAGATAAAGGATGAGTCTGTTTCAAGTTCTTTTTGATGCTTTGAACATCGGCACAAAAGCGCATATTAACGCTCGGTTATTCAGTTTGCAATCGAAATTCCGCCTATCAGTTGCGGTAACTGCATATATGCATAACGACTTCGGATACTACGTCGTACTATGTCTTACTATATGAATCGATTCGCAATCATTTTCGAAGCCAACTAAAGCCTATTAGAGATACATTGAATTGAATCATTTTTACGACTGCTTTCCTATCTTGAACAAGTAAAAACACTTTAGCGGGACTCGGCCCACCATTACATTACACTACAAGACGGACGGACAGACAGACAGACGAATAGATGAGTAGAGAAGCGGTGTACTAAAACTTGCATCAATCTCGAGTTCTTCTGGGCGTTGCATACAATCGCACAAACTTAATATACCCTTATACCACAAGTGGTATGAAAGTTTGAAACGTCATTATTTGAAAAAATTTACTATTTGTTCAATAATATACACATTTTAGGAACCTGCTTCCATATATGATAAATATTCTTATAAAGAATAATCGCTGATATGGTGTAGATATGATATATCAGCTAAATAAAAACGGCTGTCTTTGCTAAATATACTATACATCAGGTTGGTTCACGTTTTCCACTCTATCCTATAAAAGAGTTTCCCAACTTCTCCCGTTTCTCATTTTATGAAATTCTAATTTTTATCGCATTATTTGCTTTGATTTGCAGCAGCGTAAGAGCATAAATAGGTCAAACTACAAAGGTATTAGTATTATTGTTATTATTATTATTATAAATGTAGCCACAGAATAAATTCTAAGACTTTAAAGTGTTAAAGCATTAGCATTTTAAGGCAATTCGGTCTTATTGTCAGCCCTTGTTATAGATTAATGCACACAATCAGTTTCACTCCTTTGAAAATGCCGAAAACTCTCGCAATCTTTTACAAAGACTTCGTCCCGGGTTAATGCGTTACTAAAATGCTACTCATACCGATGAATCGATAAATAATTATACAAACTGTCGAGTTTCTGAAAACCAACTATAGAGATTTTACTTGTTTCAACCGTCTGAGTTGACAAAATTGGACAAAATTGTCTTAAAACGTTGTGGTGCGTTTATGTGAAATGCGAAAGTTTGCAGTAAAGTTTAATTTTTACTGCCAGCGATGCTACGAAATTTCTCTTCTGTCGTTTAAAGCATAAAGAGATGGGAGTCCTTTACGGCAGTGCGTTTTATTCCGTGTTAAACTAGAAAAAAAGAAAATGCAGCTGAAGCCATGGATTGGCCTATAGGGAAAATGCAGTAAACTGAAACCATTATAAAGTGGTTTGCGATGAACTTTCGTATACATACGACCCTCCGTCCAGTAAAAGCAATGCAGGAATTGATCTGACTCAACTTGGGATTGAGAAAGTTGTCTCGATTGCGACGCATTCGCTTATTGTCACTGGTTCCTCAGAGTTGAAGAGGTGCGATCGAGCGAGAGGTCGCTTGGAACCAAAAAAGGTTGCTGTCGCAAGCTACCCTTTAAGAGGCAAATAATCATAGGTAGTGATGATTCATACTTTAATGAACTTAAGCTTTGCAACATGTATTTTTTTTTTTTTAATTAAATTTGAATTTCATCGAACAATATGAGAATTATAACGGAACTTGAGTGCAGAGAAAGATCGTACTACAAACATTTTCACGCAATTTACACATCACACGACAGCGGTTTCGATAAATGCAATTGCGGTCACGCTTAGTTTACTATTGCATATATATGGCATATATAAATATATATACATTTTTTTTATTTAAAAGAAAAATATTTACCCTTTCCCTCTACTTTGACTTAAAATTAAGTCAAATAATTATGAATTACTTTTCTCCTATTCGTTCCAATTTTTCGCATAATTGTTTCATTAATTTGATTAAAAAATTCGAACACATAAATTTCAATTAACTATAACACTTTTTAAGGTTTTTTTTTTTTTTCCTTCGTTCTCTACTTAATTTCCACAACAATTAGAAAAGTTTTTTTTATCGTGTCTCGTTTTTATTATTGTTTTCCTCTGCCGTTTTAAACGATTGAAATAAATTAATAAATTATTTTCTATTTTTAATACTTTTCTCACTACCTCTCTTTCTGTCTTTATATCTCTGTCTCGTTACAGTTTAGTACGGTATTGAATAACGACGAAACAACTTTAAGTCCACGAATATTATGTAGAATTTTTCAAATGCCTCAAATATTTGCCTTATTCGTAAAATAAGTTAAAAAGAATAACAACAACAAAAATAAGTGCTTTAAAAATAAAGAAAAAATTTTTTAAAAAATCAATCTACCAACGTAACGAAGGCCTTTAACTGTGATTTTAAGTGTTAAGTGTTATAGCTTTACTATTGAAAACAAAAAATAAAAAATAATTAAATAAATAAGCAAAGAAAAGAAGCAAACAAAAAACAAAAGCAAAAACAAAAATTGAGAGAACATCTTAGGTGTTAGTTTACCATATTATTTAAAAAAATAAAAAAATGTTTAATTTAAATATACCTCCTTCATCGTTATTGGGCGTGGAAGGGTCTGGGGGTCTATGCTCCAAGCCCAACACTCCCGAGATACTCAATTCTCTAATTGCCATGACAAATCCTTTGGATAATTATAATTTCAACACGAACAACTCATCAATGGATTCAAGTTCCGTACGTGCTTTCAACAACAACTGCAACACACAGGTAAGTTTATTGTCACGATTTTAAAATTCTTTCGACATATAATTAAATCGTTCTTCTTTCGCATCTTCTCCTACCAGAGTATGTCTCATGATAGTAGCAGCAGTTCTGGTTCTCCTTTAGATTCACCTGCTACTGTCAATAGAACCCCCAGTGTACAGCAGGTAAGTCTCATTCATGCTATCATTGAAGAGTGTTCAAGATAAACTAAGTGACAGAAAGGACAATATTAACAGTCCTGTGAGCATGCAAAGTATTTTAAACTAAAATTTACAAAAAAGAAAAAGGAAAATAAAAATTGTATTCAAAGAAAGCAGCCCCGAACACACCCGAACAAGTGAACAGCAAGACTTTTCACAACTACTACACTAAGTTGCTCTACTTTTGCGAATCTGCGTCTAACTCTTAGGGATAGGAATTATTCTCGCTTTTCGAATAATATAATAATAATAATTTCTGTCCAAAACATATATCAAATTAGCAGATGAAAATTCGGTCCACCATCCAAACTCATATTTTATAATTAATTTTTAGGTCGGCAACGATCTCATAAAAGAGAAATATTTTGATGCGAACTTCCGATCCAAAGTTTTTTCGAAGAATTTCGTTGACTTTATCAACAATCGTTTAAGCTGCGAGCTTCCAACATAAATATTTTCAACGCGTAAACGGCCGAACATTTTCATTCGTTCGATTTCGATAAATTGCTTTCATCGTCATTACCAAAAGCCTGCAAAGCGTTATCTTTGTCTTGGTTAGCGGAGTTTTTCACAATTTTGGCCACAACTTCTCTCTCAATTCACTTATTAAATGCCATAATATTTTTTTTATTTTATTAATAAATATCCAAGTTGTGTACACGCTATCGTATAGCTATCGTAGGGTTCCCATGCTATAAAGCATTCTTTTGTGAAAAATGCTTTGAACCATTTTGATGACCTATTATTACAACAGTTTGGTGTTTGCTTGGTGTGAAAATACAATGTTACCGGGCGCTTGACACAAGAAACATAGAGATGAGCCTCGCTCTCACTAAAGGATGGCGTACATTCATATACTTACCTTCATCTGGTACTCGGTTACCTCGGGGCACTGAGTGTGCCTTTTCTCGCTCCGTGTACCACCGGACAAATAAATCCAATGACTAAAAGTGGGATGATAATTTAGATAATTTAGAGGACCTTTAATAAAGTCATATATTTTATTGATATCAAATTCTCCAGGTATTTTCAAGATGTCCGCAGGGTTAGAGGCTTCTAAAACTCCTCCTAAAAGTCCTCGAACATTAGAAACGCTTTGGCATTTAGAAAGTATTAGATCACAGATTGCTAAAGTATTGCAATGGTATGCTGGAGTCACATTTTTGCATATACTTTCACCTTAATTTTTCCGACGTTCATTGAATATAAAAGTGGAACGAGATTAGGATTTTGAATGATTTTGCTGTCCATTTTTTTCCCACCCAATAGTTTATGCTAGAATAGTAGCATTTATTAATTTTATTTCGTTTCTTGTTTACTTCGAAAATATGTTCGCCAAAAGAAACCTAATAGCAGCTAACCGGTGGGTTGAGAGTTAAGAGATATGATCTAGATTTGACTGCTAGACATGTTTCTGACTGATTCACAGTTTCAATCTAGTTAAAAAACAAAAAAAAAAAAAATAAAAAAAATACAATTGGGGACTGGTTTCGCTTTTATTAATAACAAGTTGTGAAGTCCTTCTCCAATTTCACGCCAATTCTCGCTAACGAAACTAGTTACGCTAGAAAATAGAAAACAAACAAAACTCCTTTCTCTCAGTTATACAATTTAATTTGGAATTCAATTTTTGATTAACACTAACAACTACTCCTAGCAAGACTTCTTTGAAAAAAGAAAACTTCCTCGTGAAAAAATATCTTTTGCCTATTGAATTATTGATTAATTATTTAATTAACTAATTAATTGAGTTTTTTTTTTTTTTATTTTTGATCGAAACGGCGCCGCATTTAAATTAATATTTGTAACCCACGACCCTGAATAGCGTAGCGTATTTGGCTTTTAATTGCACCTGAGTTTGCGTACCCCTGTGCTTTTAAGTAGTTTAGCTTAAAATTTTAATTTTATTTGCGTGTTTTCGCATTAAAATAATAAAACAAACGGAGAAAAAATGTCAAAAAGAAAACCAGTCTGTCACCAATAACCAAATTTGTGTTTTTGGTACGTTCACATAAAGACTCGTAAAAACATTTTTTATTTTTGATTTTGTTTATTTTTAATTTTTTTTTTTTTTTTTTTTTTTTTGTTGCCAATAAAATCATAAGTAAAAAGCTAAAAGTATATAAGATCTCAGTACAATAAAAATAAATGTAACCAAAAATGGTAACTTGCCTTAGATTTTAGTTTTATTTATTTATTTTTCTTCTTTTTTTTTTTTTTGTTTCATTTCTTAAAAATGCAAGCAAAGAACGCTATCGCACAAACATAAATATCAAAATCGATGATAAGAAGAAAAAGAGAAAAAATAATGGCGATCCAAAAATTATAAAAAACATCTTTAACGAAACTTTAGCATAAGTTTTTTTTTTTGCATTCTACCAAAGTGCCATCTACATTTAATGAGCTTAAACTATCGTATCCTCCGAATAAATGCATTATTAGTAAAATAGTTTTCTTTTAGTTTACAAAAACTACATATTTCATAGACCGGTTATTCATCAAGCAAGCAGCAAGTAATCGCTTGTTTTCCGCCGTTTTAATCGCAAGCATTTAAACTGTCTATGTCTAATAATCTCAACCGTCATCTACGACAGATGCAATGCGCTCTTCACTTACATATATGCACTCGCACATATATAGATATATTAGTTTGGGGAAAAAGAAATTCATTATTTTTATATGAACTTCAGGATTTTATTTAACATGCTTCGGATTGTCCGATTTGGGTCAAATATGCACCGTTTTGTTGTATGATTTGTTGCCATTTTAAAGGTAACTTCAAAATGCCTCTCTCATAGAAGTCCTGGCCTCTATTTGCAAAAAACTCTAGTAGTCGATTTTCACAATCCTCCCTAGATTCCAATTTTTTATCATTAAAGAAATTTTGCAATGCAAGAAAAAGATGATAATCGCTTGGTGCCAAGTCCGGACTGTATGGCGGATGCATTAAAACTTCCCAACCAAGCTCCCGAAGTTTCTGGCGAGTCACTGTAGATGTGTGTGGCCTTGCGTTGTCCTGGTGGAACACGACACCTCTCCTGTTGTCCGTTTCTGGTCAATCGCTATCTTCAAACGGTCCAGTTGTTGACAGTGGAGATCAGAATTTAGCGCTTGGCCATAAATGGTTTAAAACTGTTCTATGGTCGATTTTTAGCTCCTGGGCGATGTTACGACTGCTAACATGCCGGTCAACTTCGATCATTTCTCCGATTTTATCGACATTTTCGACGACCGGCCTACCTGTGCGAGGTGCATCTTTAACATCAAAAATTCCTGAACGGAATCTACGAAACCAAAAATGCACATAATTGGCTGTTACAGTATCGGAACCATAAACACCATTCACAATTTTAGCCGCCTGGCTTGCATTTTCGCCTTTGTCAAAGAAAAACTGTAAAATGTACCGAATTTTCTCTTTATTCACTTCCATTTTTAACACGCTGTAACTCACAACTGAATGCACCAAACAAAAAACAGCAAAAGAATTTTTTTACTGCGAAATGTACAGTATGTAAATGTACAGTATCGGAAATTGTTTGATCGATACTTTACGAGAAATCTATCAGTGCAGCCATTTACCGAAAAAATAATGGATTTCTTTTTCTCCAAACTAATATATATATATATATATATATAGCACCATCAACACTTGCAAATTTTATTCCGACATGCAAAAACTGGTTACAACGACTTGCATTCTAAAGTTCGCAGAAGAAAATCAATAATAATTAAAAAAAAAAAAAAAATTATTTAAAATACATCAAAGCGACCGTATAGGCACTACTTAAAAGCGTACGTTGACGCTCCTCATGCCTTTGTTTTCTCATAATGCTTGCGGCGAACACTGCTATCTGCTGCCTTCCATATTTTCAAGTCGTGCATAGTTGTCATGAGATTGTCGGGGGGAGGTAAATCTGTCTGTAATCTCCGTCGTTCGTTATGGTTTTTCGGACAGACAAAGAAAACATGGCCAGCATCTTCGATGCACTCACAAAAAGTGCAGAACGGATCCTGCAACTATATCAAACACGTGAAGTTCTTAAACGCAAGTCGATATTGAAAATGATCGAAATCGGACAAGCTAGCTGACTACGATATAACATAAAGTAAGAGCACCTACAATAGATTTAATAATAAAAATTTCCATATGACCTTAGTATAGCGCGTTTATAAAATTGGAGAAAGTCAGCCATGCCTATCTAAAATAGAAGTAGTGGATATAAAAGATTTTTTGCCGAATATAATTTTCTTACTTATTATTTAGTCTTTGTTTATTTCAAATTCCTTCTGCGTACACGCAGATATACACATACACAAATGTGTATTTAGTTCATTTGTATATATATAAGCGTTTCACGATATTTCTAATGACTGGAAACGTTACGTTAACTTGTTTTTATAGACATCGTCGAATGGAAGAGCATTACCGATTTGCTCGCTTCGCTCGTAACAATCAAAAGCACGCACATTGTAGCGTATCATTGTAAAATATTATTCCTACTGTGAAGGAGGACTGAACAGCGTTTTCATATTACGCAATTTCAATCCCCCGTATAACACGGGCATACCCCCATATAATTCGGAGATTTTCCACATACATATTTCTGTATTGTGAAATTTATAATGGTTTGTACAATTCATAACTAGAAAAGTTAAATATGATGAATCATTTATACGTAACGCGTTATGCGAGGTCGTAAAAACGCGATTACTGTATTTCGAAATATTAAAGAATTTCAAAACAATGATTTGCATCCTCAAGAGTTCTCTCGCATTTAACGCAGATGGTAGATATTGAGATGCACTAGAGGACGAATAAATATTTGGCCATTTGTTGCAAGTTCAACATTATAAAAAAAAAACAAGTCAGCTTGATACCGTTGGTCGCACCAAACCATAAAGTACTCTCCATCACTTCGCTTAACACCACTTCTCTCGCGTTATGTTCGTCAGAAAATACTGCGAATTACTCGTTGTCCTTAGGTAAAAGCTCACCTATCCTGAGGGAGAGCCCTACAATATACCAATGCGGTGCAACATATTTTAATTTTTTTTTTTTGTCAAAACGCTTCATTTCATTTAGTCATGAAATATCAAAAATTCAAACTCTTATCAAATACAGAGCATACCTTCCGCACAAACTTACTATAGCCTTATCCCATGGAATGTGAGATGTTAGAGAAATAGAAAAAAAGAGACGAAAAAGTAGAAAAAAAATTATATTCAGCTTAAGGCATAGGTTTGACAATCGCCAATTCAAACCAATATCCAAGGCGCTTTCTTAGCCGCATAAGCATCAACTTCATTTTTATATTAAAGCGTCGGATGACTTCGGTAAATATCGAATTTCTAATCAATACTTGTTTTATATTCAAAGATGAAATTGTTCATTTATTACGGGCTGGTGGTTGGAGGTCGTTTCTTTTCGATCATTTTCACATTCAAGTAACAATCAATTTGTATTGTATTGCACTGTCAAATTTGTATTTGAATTTTTTCAAACAATCGACGACCCATGATGAGCAAAATAATGGGAAAACGGACAAATGGACGCATGGTCAAGGCTATATCGACTTTGAATATTATTTGATTACTGAACAAGTAAGAAAATTAAATTCGGTCGGGACCAAATCTTTTACGCCCGTCACCGTTTACCCTAAAAAGAGACAACAGAAATAAAAGAACATAATTCTCCTGCTCTATAATATGGAGTGGGCGTAGTTGATTTCTTCTATTTTGAAAAGAAAAGTTTTTATCGCATGTTGTAGGCGTGTCCTTTGAAAAGTTTAGGACAATTCCAAAATGTTTGCCCCAAATACTACACGGTTGCGCAAACGGACAGATGGACAGGTAAAGATGTTTACGTGCATTCCAGATTTGAAAATGGCTAAGAGCTTGTATAGTTTATGGGACTTTTGAAACTTGTTTCTGCGCGTTATGAAGGTATTGAAAAAGCAATTCAATTATGATACACTATAATGTTGGATAGGCGTATTAAATTTTTACCATTTTTGTACATTTATCTGCTACAGTTTATGAGTAATGTTTAAAGAATCAATTTTTTATTCCTTTTGAAAAACAGAAGTATACGGGCGTGTCCTTTGACCGATTTGGCCCATTTACAATATCAACCTGGGCGCAAGAACTTCCACTGTTTGTGTCGAAGTTGGAACCGATAGCTTCATTTTTGCTGCCAGGAGAATGTTTAGAACAAACATTACACAAACGAACAGACAGTCAGCCGGACAGACGGACGGATGGACATGCTTAAATCGATTTAGAATTTGACGTTGATCAAGAATACATATACTTTGTGGGGTCTGTGATACTTCCTTCAGAACGTTGCAAAAGGTTTTGACAAAATGAATATACCCCTCATCGTTCGGTGATGGGTATAAAAATATAAACTGAGTTTGATAAAGCATCTGCTCCACAAACATCACGAATCTTTGCGTAAGCCTGCGAAGCATTATCGTTTCGGTCAAAGCCACATTCTGAAACAAATTTTCATTTGCAAATTACAACTGAAGACCCTAAAAGTTATTTGCTTTTTTCACATTTCACACGTGCTGTAGTACGGTCAGATTGGGTTAATATCGCCAAAGTTACACAACTCTAGAATGTTCTTTTAGGTAAAAATAGCATGACTTTCTCCTTGACGCTATAATAATGCTTTTAGTCCCTCATGTGATAATTTGCGTATTACAAACCCATTATGTAGATTCTCATCCACATAGCACATGTGTAGCTACAATTAAAAATTTGCATCACATTTGTACGCATTCGCATTTGAATCTTAAAAACTTTTCTCCTGGCGCTAATTAAAAGGGAACGAATCGATTCTATCTACCACAGTATCTATCACAATTTGTTTATTTTGTTTGTTGGCCTGTCTGCCCGGTACGGTTTATACAGTCTCCTTGATGAGTCATTGTATGACGAGATTTCACTAAGAAGTTGCATAATTTTAACGACCAAACAAATGGCCATATGGCGGCAGTTGATAATAAAGAGATGACGGTGCGCTTATTCAGTCGGGGATTGTTTATTATATTTTGTTTTTTTTTTTCATGTATATGACCGTCTTTTTGCCTATATTTTTCGCTTTTTCTATATTTACGAGTGTAATAAAAGGGAAATTAGGTCTCGTCCGTGTGCCTATGTTTGTGGTGCCAGAAAAGGTCAATTCAATAAACAACTTGTCATGATTTCTCGACGGTACATGTAACAGACAATGTAGATATAAACGCATTTTTATAACAACTTAAGCCATTCACAAACATGGGCATGAACAAAACATCAACGAAACGACCAGCCTACAAACAACGAACGCATACAATAAATCACACGTTTATGAAACCATTTCGATACTCATATTGTGTAGACATATGTATGTATATTTGTAGTTACTTATTCACTTGCTTTCTCATTCTTCAATAATCGTCTGACTGTCTATTAGGAAAGGAAGCAAAAAAACCCAAACACAATTGAAATTGTTGGCGGCTTAGAATGAATCTTTGAATTTCTAAAGTTTGTATCTCGCGTTTTCTTTCATTTTAAGCAAATACCGCGTTTTTTACATTTTCATCTTATAGACGTGCGTCGATCGTTCATAAAATTTGTCTTAAAATTTTAAGCGTAGTCGGCAAACCAAACATCCTACAAAACTGCAGGGTTGTGGGCATTTATCAAAGCAAGTAGATTAGGATGAACAGGTTCTGACATAAGGAACAGCAAAAGGATCAATGCACCGCCTCTCTCTGGTCTTATCCTTAATCCTATGAAACGAATCATCGCATTTCCGATATCGAGAATAAAGACTAAGCGGTTCGTTTGAGAATGTAAAGCAAGAATTCAAGATCCGGTTGGCTACCGCTTAGTTCACTTATTCCACGCATCTATTCATGAATGCGTAGGGTTGCCGATGCGTATTTGTTCGCCTTGCGAAACGAACAACAAACAAAGTTAATACGCAATACCCGAGAAGCGTAAAGAAAACAAGATTTCTTTCACATTTCAATTTTGTTGCTATTATTTATTCACATAAATTATGATTTTTCAATTACTTCGTATGGCTGACTTTGTACCTGTTTTGTTGTTGCAGTGTTGCACTTATCAAGACACGCATTAAATGGTTCAGAGTTACAAAGTGTTAAACAATACCAACAACGTTATTGTGCTTACATTACATTATTTAACATTGAAATGATTGTGGAAAAGACCATATGGTCGTTATAAAATGCTGCTCATGTTTAGTTCAGATTCTTCGGTCGTTAGGTCGGTCTTCTGTTGTTTAATGCAAGTTGCATCGCGTGGTTTTACTTTGTTTTTTTCCTCCTTTTTTCTTTCTCTCTTTTTCGCTCGTTTGAAGACATCTTAAAATGCATGAATTTTGTAAAGCAGCACAATACCAAAAATTATCATTACAATAAGAACAACAACTAGGCATTTCCGTATATGGGATCGAAACCCTGTTTTATACGCACGTCCATGTACTGTGCACTCTTACTTATTGTGAACGTAACAAGTAAAAAAGAACCAAAAAAAAAAAAAAAAAAAAAGAAGAAATATACGCATGAATACGAACTCCATTACTTAGGTATTCATGTATTCATTCAATCACTTCATTATAACTGACTGACATAAGCTGAAGAGCCTTGCTTCGCATTGGCAGACAGCAGTCACTGTTGAGCTTCCACCCACTTCGACATTGGATTGGGTTTGCATCGAGTCGTTTGTACGTGCAACTGAAAACTCTAAATGTAGGTCACACTTGACACACAATCGAAACCAACAACAAGAACAACAATAACTGCTACTCCTTTTCATCTACATCGCTTTACTTGGATATTTCTTCTTTTTTTTTTTTATTATTATTATTATTATTATTATTATGTCGTTTGCATTGATTTGGAGCGAGCGCATGTTCAAGATTTTTTAAATGATTCAACAACATTTCATTTATTATTTGTTTCTTTTTCTGCTTCTTCTTCTTCTTTTTTCATTTTTTATTGAAAATAAAAAATTGCCGCAACTACTTTTTGTCATAATTTTTTTTTCTTAAATGTTTGTAGGCCACTGCGACCATTTAAAATGATATATAGTTGTTTTGGACCCTGTTATGATGATAGCAGCAAAAAAACAAATAAATAAATAAATAAATGCTAGCATAGTTCAGCTGGGAGTGTCAATTCACTCTCACGATAATCATTGCTATGTGCTCTGTGATGAGAAATAGTCACAAAAAGAAAGCAAATTTGCTTTCAGTTTGTGCCGAATATTTTGATTACCAACAGCACCAAGCCCTTACCCATCCATCTTCGAAATGCAATCGATGCAATCCATTTAACGACATGCCCACGAAAACTAAATGCACATTTTCTTCTTAGCGAAAGGATATATTTGTCTGCATGCATTTCTCACTCCGTAAACTTTTCTTATCAAAGTGCTGCAGCCGTGTTTGTTCATTGAAATCTTTGAAGGAATCGACCATAGCCCACGAAAAACGCCAAATGGGAGAACCGTTACTTTTTCTACTTGTCTTAAAACAAAAAGCTTGAATAATGAGCTCGTGAATAATGATCAAAGATGGAGACGCAAGACATCATGTTACAAATTAAACGAACTATTAGTACCAGCGGTCAAGTCGACTGATCAGAGGGAAAACGTTTGCAATACCTAAAAAGTCGCTATAAGTTGATTCGTGTAACGAAATTAGTTTAGGAAAAGGTGCTAGCGCTGAACTGAAATGTGCTCCCACTCACATTCTCGTTACTAGGTCTGCCTTCCGCCGCTCAGTCCCTGCCCTTATCAATAAGCGGTTATTTTCATTGTTTTTGTGATTTCGCAAATCTCTATAAAAGATTTTTTTTGATTTTTTTCATATAACTATGTGGTCAGTTGGTGATAATTTGATAATTATTTGCATGTATGTTTTCTTATCTTTTCAGACTTGTTCGCAACTAATTAAAGCTGGCCTAAAATTGACTATACAAAGTAAACGAAAGCTATCTACCTGTGACTCTAGTTCTGGTTCTGAGCAGCCTAATGCAAAATGTTCGCGACCCAATGAAGAGTGTGAAGAAACGACCGATGAAGATAGTGAACACAAATCGACAGCACCTAGTAAGGGCTTAACACCGGAGGATGAAGATCGTCGGCGTAGACGCCGGGAACGTAATAAGATCGCTGCAACTAAATGTCGCATGAAGAAACGCGAACGCACACAGAATTTAATTAAGGAATCGGAGCAGTTGGATACACAAAATATTGATTTAAAAAACCAAGTGCGTGCTTTGGAGACCGAACGTCGTAAGTTATTAGAAATGCTACAAGTGCACGAGCCAGCCTGTGTGCATGCAGGTGGATTAAACTTACCATCAAAGTTACTGCAGTCGCCAGCTTTTAAGTATTTGCTCGACCTCAATTTAGATGACAACATTTCAGCCAATGGTCTTGGCGTTTCGCAAACGCTACCAAATGGCTGTGGTAATGGTAGTTCGGTTAATCAACAGCGCACTGTAATCCCACCGATGTCTACCATAAAATTTTCACGTAGTAATGGATTTAAGGCGGCTGCTGCCCTTAATAATCCGGTAGCCGGTATGCTACCACAAATGACGACAGCATTATCACAAACATCACCTCTACAGCAACAGCAACAACAGCAACAACAACAACAGCCACATCCAACAAGTCAGCTCCCCAATGGCTATTGCAAACCATCACCTACGCCTCAAGAACTTGGCTATTTAAACTCACCTTCTCAAGACAGCAGCAATTTGTGCATAACAGCGGCTCTGCAAAATCAATCACACTTATCAGCCGCCAATAATTCTGCCAATTTGCATCAGGCGGCCCTCGGTAATGCCGCGGCGGCAGCTACAGCCTTAGTTAGCCATTCTATAGCTGACTACATTCCAAACTGTGACTCCTCATCGTTAAGTGCTCTAACTACCCTAACGCATACACCTACTGCCTGCAGTACGCCTAGCAGTATTATGGGCAATAGCTGTGGTGGCGATAACAGTGCCCTGCTAGCCAGCGTAGTCAGTCCCATGGCCGTCGTTACTACTCCTACTACAGCCACCGAATTTGTCAAAAATGAATTAGTCGATTCACAGAGCCCCTACACCACCGCCCAGTCAGCCGAACGTTTTCTCTTCGAAAGCAATTGTGATAGTTTTGTAGATATCAAGCATGCTGTTAATGTCCATCACCCGTTAAATCAAAATCATGGCGGTCCTACACTCTTGCAAACCAGTAACGGAGGTGGTAACCTCTTGGATTTTACATCAGCCCTTATGGGCAGCAATGCGACAGGCGTAGTCTCATTTCATGACCAGATTTCAATTAAAAATGACTACCTACAAGAAGCCGATTTATTGGCTCAATTAACAGGAGAGGCAGCTGAGTTTGTGGATTTGGACAGTGGTGTCGCAGCAGCTTTTATGACCAACGGGGGTTGTCTAGCATAAGTTACTAGAAAGTAGAAGTAAAAAAACTAAGTATTCGAAGAGTGAGGTTTAATTGAAGGTATGCATGGCGAAGAGAGGTATAAGATGGATGGATGTAATAACGAAAGGAATTCTAAAAAGCCTACATTTCGAGAGGTAAACAACCATTGAATGAATTCAAACAAAAAAAAAAAAAAAAAAAAAAGAGGAAAGAAACGAAGAGAAATTGCCTTTGGTAAATAAGAAAAGCCGTCACCTTCTTGTTTATGGTCTTTGGGTTTTTACTATTCACATACAAAATGATAAAGTTTAATGCAGATACACATTCCTCCCCTCAACAAGAATTCATTTGTCTTCCATTATTCAATTAAAGAATTAAAGCAAAGATAAGAGAAACTCCCACCTTTCTTTAGATAAAATAGTTTTTTTTTCCCCTTGTAGATTACATTTCTACGCACAACTCTCTGCTTCATATGTCGAGATAAAATTGTTAACTTGGACTGTCTTTTACCGCTTTTCATGCTTCGTTCGACACCCTACCCACACACCCCCCCCGGCCCGTCTCCCTATCCCTCCTTGACGGCATGGCTGCGAAACTGCCTCGAATATTTTACACTAGTAGTAGACAGACTGTTCCTCTAGTGAATGATGATAATACGATAATCAGATTTACCAAAATGCAAAGCATTGTGCTTTCGATTAGAATTATTTAGAAGGAACCATCTCTAAGGCTTGACTACCTCAAATTTAATGTAAAAAAAAAAAAAATAATAACAAAAATAAAATAATCAAAGAAAGAACAGGAAGAGGAAGAGAAAGTGGAAGATAATATGTAAGCATTCCAAATAAAAATTTTTTATATGTTTCGGGACAAAAGGATATGAAAGAAACTTTGCAAATATTAGTCACACCAGCAGTAATTATTAAATTTAGTTAAACTTTAACAGAGATTATTATTAAACACGTTGAACACTATGAAGAAAGCGACAAAATATGACTTATTGGCCTAAACTTGGTTGAATCAAATCAAATGAGAAATGAATTCTAATTTAAACTTGGGTTAAATGATAAATTTTCGAAAATAATACATAAGAATAAAAAATAAACGAATTAATCGTAAAATTTAGATTCAGGGAAAACTAAATTATAAAAAATTATTTTATGGCCTTGAGTGCTTTTCGTTCTTGTTTTTTTTTTTTTTTTTTTTGGTTTTTTCGTTTTTTGTTTCCTCCTTATTTCAAATAATAATTTAAAGCAAAGGACTTTTATAAAATTTGGACACACAAAAGCACGATTTATGTAACACACATTAATTCAGGTGAATTTGTTTTTGTTTTACAAAGCAGAAGCTAATTTTAAGTAAGTAAAAAAAGCTAAAATTAAATTTAATTTGTTGTTTTTAACTGGAAAAGGAAAAAAAAAAAACGTAACTCTCTTCAGATATTTTAAATGCAGTGTTGGGCGAAAAAAAAAACTCCAAATTTCTTCGATGTGTCTTTCTTGCAAATATTAAAAAATATATATTAGAAAATAGTAATAAAAACAAAATTTAATAAAATCTTTAATGTAAAAAAAAACAAAAGAATAGAAAATAAATAAATTAACGGAAAAAGTGCTTTATATCTGTAATAATAATTATAACAAACATTAAGTTAACGCGAAAGCAGCAAAATCAAGTGCTCTAACTTTTAAAACAGTTATTATGGTAAGATACGCGCTGAACCACACACACACACACACACACACACACACACACACACACATACATACATACATACATACATACATACATACATACATACATACATACATAAATACATACATACATACACACAACAAATTTATTTGTAAGCAATTTTTTTATTGCAGCAATTTTTTGCTTCAATCTTTTTTTTTTTTTGCATAAAAATTTTTTATACTTGTAACAATAATGATGTAAATTACAAAGGAAACACACTCACTCACATATGTATATATACATATATATATATATACAAGAAGCCTTCCTATTTAAATAAGAACAGGCTTGCTACGCATAAATAAGAGAAAACGAAAATAATTTATATTAAAAGTAACATATGTTCATTCAAATTCTTTGAAAAAAAAAAAAAAAAAAACAAAAAACAAATCTTCATATTACCTCATTAAAATCTAATCCCAAAAACTTGTGTAAAAATTTGCAATTTCACGTGTTATCGTAGTAATACGTGAACGGAAAGCAAGCAGAGTTCAGAGTTGTTAAAAAATAAAAAAAATAAAAAAAAAAAAAGGAAAATTTCATTTTTAAATTTCTACAAAAATCTAAAACACAAAGTACACGAGCCGTTAATTAAAAGTTCAAAAATATTTGCCAATTTTCATTAATTACGCACACAAAATTCATTAAAATGGCAATTCTGCACAAACACAAACACACACCAACACACAAACACACAAAAAATACATACATGCATATTGAAAAGCGAAACGGACAATAACTTACGCTTACCCGCATGTTTGTGCTTATGTATGTATACACAACGAGTTACACTCGCCCGCTAATGACAAGCAATGGTTCGATTGTTTCTTCTATTGAGAAAGTTGAATTATTTGAATTGTTTACCGTGTTGAACACTTTTCGAGCAGAACAGCGATCAATCAGTTTTCATAATAAGTTCATTCATTGCATGACCGACCGACCGACCGACCGATCGACCAACTGACCAATTCTTCGAGCAATCATCAAAACCCCTCTTCAAATATCAGCCTTAGTTGTTTAGTGGCGCATTGCAAATTGTGAAAAGTTGTAGAAACTAAGCTGAATATACTAATCCAAGCGAAAGATTACGTAAAAATAGTAAAATAAAGCATAATTTAATAAAAAGCAAATCAATAATTAAATAAATAAATGAACGAATAAAAAAAGAGTTAATCAGGTTAAACCCAAAAATTGCGCTACATACGTACCTGTTATGAGTTTTTGTAATGTTACGAAAACATCTAAAGTAAAATTTTGCATAAATTTCTCTTTTAATAATTTAAGTGAAAGATCCAAACAAAATAAAAAAAAAAACAAAAACACGAAAAAAAAACTATTGGCAAATATTTTTTAACTTTTAATTGCAAAAAACAAAAAAAAATTTAAAAGATTTGATAAAACGCAAAGACGCAAAAACGCAAAAATGGTTTCAAAATATATCAAAAATGTACAATTGTTTTAAATTTTATTTTTTGTTACTTCTTATTAATAATGAAAAATTTTCAAAGTATTATGATATTTTTGTCGAGAGCAAAAACTTATTTTTAATATCTTATTATTATTTTATTTTTTTTTTAAATTTTATCTTGTTATTGTATATTAATTTAATATTATTAAATTAATTTAAAAATTAACACTTTCTGTTGCAATATTTAACAAAATATTTAATTCTTTTTTTATTATTCGTTTTACAAGTTGTTTTATCATGTATTTTGTCATCTGTTTTATTTTATTTCTTCTTTTCTTTTTTTTTTTTTCTTTTATAAACAAAAAAAAAAAAAAAAAAAAAAAGGAAAAAGGAAAAACAGCTATACAGCTATATATTTAAAAAAATAATAATAAAATGAAAAAAAAAATTAAAATAAAAACGATGGAAATGTCGTAAACTTTTACTAATTTCGTTTATTTATTTTTAATAAATTTTTTTAACTTTTAATTCTAAGTTGTATATTAACACACAAAAAAAAGAAGAAATTTATAAAAAAAAAAAAAACAAACAAAAAAAACGACCTTTTTAATCATCACTAATGGCAGTTTATATTGTACTACTAAAGGTTTGATGTGTAGATTTTTTGTGTAAAAATTTATGTATGAAATATATATATATATATATATATATATACATGTATATATATGTATATATATATATATATATATATATGCCGCAAAATATTTATTATTGAATGTAAATCACCTAAAATTGAGAAATAATTGTTTCGCTAAATACATGCAAAAAATTTAAAAAGATTAAAAATGAAAAAACTGTAAACGAAAAATTTAAATGTTGAGTAACTTTTCAAATCAGCTATGAATCATCGTCATCATAATCATCGAACGAAATGAAACAATCAATGAATAGCAAAACACCAACATAAACAAAATAACAAAAAGCAAACAACAACAACAAATTTAAGAAATAAAAATTAATTAAATTCTTAAATGTATGAAAAATGAAAAATGAAACAAAAATAAAGAAAACCTTAACGTTATTCAAAACCAATAAAAAAAAATAAATAAAAATAAAAAAAAAAAACGAAATATTTATTTATAAAGGGGATTTTAAGAGAATGAGTGGTAAAGTATAAGGAAAACATGGAGAACATTCAGGAGCAATCGATAACACGACGGGCTTACTTAGTAAACGAAAAGTTATTATTATGTTCACAGTTATCATCTTCTGCTTACAAATCGAGACAGTTATTCTCGAAACGGCATAATACGCAGTTCAGAGCTGTAGTGATTTTGTTCGAAGAAAATTTGAACACAAATATAATGTTTCTAGTTTCTCCTAAGCCCCGCAATGCAATTACTAAGCGTGGCGCCTTAGAATTTTTTCAAGCTAAAGCGATTAATTATGTTACAATCCGCTTTCCTGGGTACCCCAAAAAATCAATGAAGAGCACACACATACAGACATCTTACTGCTCATGTTCTCCACACTTTATGAGTTGGTGGTACGGATATATACAACGTCCAGAAAGTCTTTCAATAGACAATTGCTCCCGCTATAAGAATCGATGCTGCATCATTGTGCCTTACTACATGTACTAAGCAAGCACACGTAAGCAACTGTATGTAAAACCAAGAACGATTTCAGATAAATTCATCTTTTACTATAGAGATCGATTCAAAGTCATTTTGTGAATCGAGAAGGACTTAAGAGACATCCATCTTTTATTGCACCAATCGATTCAGATACATTTTCCAAGCTCTTCTGTTCGTCTATCTTTCCATATATCGTCTAATTACAAAAGAATCCTTAAATGAAAGAATATTGCAATTTTTGAATTTCGACAGCAAAAGTTGCTTAATAATAGTATTTTAGCATTTTAAATCGATGTGAATATGTTGGATTGAATCGGGCAATTTTTTGAACCCCACGTCATGTAATTGTTGGTCTGAAATGTGAATTTTGATATTATAAAACGGTTTAATTTTCAACATTTCTTGTTGCAACCTCATTTCTAATGACGATT